TGCCTTAAAATTTCCCGAACTAAAATCTAAAATTTCTAAAAGGTCCGAACTGCCATTTTACGGTTATACCCTTGGGCTTCAAATCACAAACCAGACTCCCAGATCATCTAACTTACCTTACCCACACCCAAATAGGTCTAAACCTCTCTTTCCTAAAGGCCCTAAGCCTTATGATAACCGATCTTCGGGTCACAACCCTGAATTAGGAAACGATTCGGAACAGGGTGTTATAATAGTATAACACCAAATATGGTGTATTGTTCCTTCACATCAAAACTTAGGCTCCATTCAGAAGTTATAGTCTTTATAAAGTTTGATGTTTATAATTAGTTGTTCCTTTTTCTTTATTATTTCTTTAAATGTATGTATATTTGTATTTAGCAATTTCTTCGAATATTTTTATCAAATATATACAATTTATCCAACACAAAATAAAACATAAATGATAAAATGGTCATTTTCATCGGTCAACACAACCATTCAGAAGTATAATCAAATATCATGGTTTCAATGATAGATCAATTAGGGCTTCTGACTTAAATTAGGTCTTTGACTTAATCAAATATGATGCAATCAACAACTATATTTAGAAGTATAAATACATAATTTTATTTTTTAGAAGTATTTTTATTAATTGATAAGTATATTTGTTTTCCACATACATTTTTTGATTGATATAGTTCTAAATGATGTGCTGTTTGTTTTTTCTGAGGTAAAATGTTTGTAGTCTGCGGACTACATTCGTAAACAGATTGCAGTAAAAGAGGTGGACCAAATGTTTGTTGTCTGAAAGAAGAATACTATTTGTTTTTTAACGTTTGCATGCTGCAAAAATAAACTAAAATCTATATAAAATATTTTTTTAAAACTTAAAAGATTTTTTCGATACTTTTATGATTTTATTATAGATAATTAACAAATTTGGATCAAACATTATGTATTATTGTATAAAAAGTAAAAATAAAATAGTACAAATTAATGTTTATATTTGATAAAAACCTACAAGCTTTGGTCATAAAGTTATACATAAATATTGTAATTAGAGATCAATGAATTGAACATATAAAATTGATGGAAATAAACTTTGATTTTAAAATGAAAATTTAGAAAATTTTCCTTTTACGTTTTCAATGAAATCAATTAAATAGTAGTCATAATTTTTTTCCCAAGAAATGGATGATACTGCATTAAGTAATGTTTTATAAAATTTGTTTTAAAAAATATAACATAATATTATGATTTTTTCATATTTATATAAAGGGTTAATGTCATTTTAGCTCAATCAACTTTTTTTCATTTGTTTTATATGGTCATCGAAGTTTTTTTTGTGCATTGTAGCTCCTTAAACTTTCAAATCACGTGTTAAGTAGAGGAATACCTCCTAAATGAAGGGGTCAACCAATTTCCTATATGAATTGGCATCCAAATGACATTTTGGTCAACTAAAGTTGTCCACACGGTGTTGACATATGCCCACATGAATTTTTCTGTTAAAACTTTTTTTTTCTAATTTAAAAGTTTATCTGTCAATATACACACGAGTCTTGATTAACTGTCTCCATAAATCAACCCAAAAGCAAGACGATAGGTACACGAAACAAAATTTTGATCATTTCTTCCAGTTTCTTCAATAATACAAAATCAGCTATAATAAACAATATCAAATAGCATCGAGAACAAAACTTGCATCACAACATCTATATAAAAATCCTACATCAACCCATGAGTTCACAACACAATCCCATTTTTTCTTGAGTTGAAAATAGATCAAATTTCTTGAGTTGACTTCACTGACCTAAGAGTACCCAATGTTTCACCTGCATTCTTGAAACCAATTGCAACATCAGATTGCCCTCTTTTATGGTGTGGAAGAAACTTACATCCCACATACCACATCATAAGACCTTTGAATTAAGGAAATCAACAGATTATTACGACTACAAATGTGATTACATAATTAGAAAAACAACCTGATCACCACCGGTGGTGATAGTTACAGTGATAGTTACAAGGTCTCCAACCATTCATCACAACTCTTACCACCATCAGAACACGCCAGCTCCATTGATGTATATGAAAATCCAGATTATTTTAATTGTTTTTTAGTTAAAAAATAAAAATAAAATATACATGTGGACTCTAGGCGGCCATTCTCACTTCAACATTAGATGCTTGATCCAAACCGGGAAATGTAGGTTATATACCTCTTTTTAACAGGTAAGTTGTAAGTTTACTGATATAGAATGCATAAAATAAAACTTTAGTGACCATTTAAACAAAGATAAAACTTAATTGGATTATAATAACATTAACCCTTATATAAAGAGCTCCAATGACTATTATTATAATTAAATTTTATTTATAAATTTATTACAAATGTCATGTTTGTGTCGTCGAACATTTTTGTAAGTATTATATATATATATATATATATATATATATATATATATATATATATATATATTCCAAATTGTTTATCATAGATTAAGTTATAATAAATCTAAGTTTAAAAAAAAACCATATATATATATATATATATATATATATATATATATGTTTAGTAGGCTAGAAGATGTTTTAAGAGATTAGAAGACTCTGGTCCATGTCTGCACCAAGAAGAGGAAGTACAAACCTTTTAAGGTCTGTAGTCTTTAGAAAAACAAGCAGTCTGCAAAGACTAATCTCTGCACGTGGTTTGCACGATGCAGCCAAAAGAAGTCAAGAACATCTACAAACAAAAAACAATGTTTTTTATTTATAAAAAACATAAAAATTTATACTCATACGATGTTTTGTTATTATCTACTCTAATAAATGAAAATCTTTTTGCCACATGTCACACTCTCATTAATTTGGCCACATGTAATTTTGTGGTTATTTTCAATTAAATTTTTTCCACATGACATTTTGTGATTTTTTTTCATTTTATCAAAATCCACATAATATTTGAATGTAATAATTATAATAAATGTAATAATAAATGCATATCAATTTCATTAATTGACTTTCCTTTTAGTTTTAAAATTTGTAAATTAAAACCACATTAGTTTCCTTTGTTTATTTATCTAAATTATTTGTTTAAATTAAAAAAAACACATTAAATAATTATATATATATATATATATATATATATATATATATATATATATATTTATAAATTTTTTTAATTTTTAAAAACAAACTTTTAAATGTTTAAAATTTCATATTTAATTTTTCTTTTAAATGAACCCATGTAACACATGAGTTTTACACCTAGTATTATTATTTGTATATAAATATGTTATTAGTACATATAATAATATAACTTTAAAAACATACGATGTTTTGTCTGTATTAATACATATTATAATATAACAAAAACATATTTAGGTAAAAAAACTCAAAAAAACTATAAACTTAATTTTTTTTACAAAATCATTTTATAGTAACTTGAAAACATGTTATTAAAAAAAAGTTTAACAAATTTTAAGTATAAACAAACAAAAAAACGGCTAAACATAAAAACTCAAAACCCTTTACTATCCTACCTAATAAATGAATGTTTTTTTTTGCCACATGTCATCACCTAATTCAATATGCCACATGACATTTTTTTAACTTTTTAATTTCATTTAAATCCACTTGGAAAATTGTGGTTTTTTTGGCTTTGTTTTTAAATTATAAATCTAATCTAAAAATATAATAAAGAAAATAAGGAAACTTAAATTTCTCCATAAATTCTCACGTAATTTGTCAATTAATGTATTAAATTCAATTTAAATTCAAATCAACCTTCCTAATTGAATAACATAATTTTCGGTCAATCCCTTTTGAATTCACGATAATTTACAGAAACTTTACAAAAATTGGTTCATTCACAGCTAATATTAATATTCTTTCTAAATTCAGGTTTGTAAATTATTAAACATGTAATGCTTAACATAATATATAATTTTTTTAAAAGAAACCCATGTATTACACGGGTCTAGAAATATATTAATTTTTTAAAAAAAATCCGTGTGTATTACGTTACACGGGTCTAGCGACTTAGGCCCCGTTTGATAGAGATCTTTCCAGCTCCAAACAGATCTTTCTGGCTGAATGGACCGGAAAGACTGTTTGATATGCACAAAAAAATGGGTCTTTTCCGGTAAGATATGTCTTTCCCAGAAAGCTCAAAAATCATATCTTTCTGGCTGAAGAGGCTGGAAAGACAATTGTACCTCAAACTCTGCCTCTTTCTTTCTTGGATTATTAATTTCTTTAAAATAATTTTTAAATTTTTTTTATTGAATTATTATATATTAATAAATATTATTTTTAATATATAATATTTATGTATTAATTAATATTATTTTATTGGATTATTAATTTCTTTTAAATAATTCTTTTTTATTTCCTTTTTATGGATTAATTTTATTGGATTATTATATATTAATAAATATTACTTTATTGGATTATTAAGTTTCTTTTAGTTAATTTTTTAATTCATTTTTATTGGACTAATCATTTTTATAGACAACACCACCATCATCCTAATATATATCTAAAAAATCATCCATCCCACCACTATCACACATAAACTGGGTCAAGAATCACATATTGAGTTATAAAAAATGTTATAATTGCTAGAAAGAATAATAACGTAACATCAACTTGAAAAAAATAAACTAAAAACAACTTAATCGACATTCTATTTGGATTTTTAAATGATTATCGTATAATTTTGATTTTGTATGACATTCTATTTGGATTTTTAAATGATTATCGACATTCTATTTGGATTTTTAAATGATTATCGTATAATTTATATGTTTTTATAATTATTTAGCTAACTTCGTCCATATAGAAAGTGTAATATTATCATTTTTCATTATTTAGCAAAAATGTTTCTCATACAGCACTTTCCAATAAAATAATTTATCACAGACCTTTAGAGTACTTTGAAATGGAAGATGGAGGACGATTAGGGTTTCAATAACCATTGATCATGAAGAACATTGTGAAATCCCTCCAAGAAGATGCAGATGCTTCAAGTCGATGCCATTTCCTTCACTTCTCCTCTCGCAAATCCTAACATTGCCGATAAGAACACCGTCGGTGATGTCGCCCCAAGTAGGCCGTTTACGCCTATGCTTTCTTCGATTTACGGCGAGTCCTTTCCATCTGCCATTGGGTTTTGGATAAAGTTTAAAGGAATAAAGTCCTTATGTATTGAATTTCCACTCTCCGATCACAGAGCTATTGATAATCGTTGTCTTTTCAAGTGGAAGGTTAAGTTGGGGAACAAAATTGAATCGTTTATATTTCTGTCACCGAGTTCAATTTATGATAAGGATGGATTCTGTCTTAACGGAAATGGGGATGAAGAAGACGACGTCGTGTTAATCGGTGATTTGCATATGAAGAAACTTGCCATTTCGCTTGGGTGTCTGAAGGATGTGATGCATGGCGTGGGATGTTGTTGCACCTCCTTAAGGATCTACCAATGTTGGAAGATGTTTCCATTACTGATTCAGGGAGAAGAGGGAGGCTTTCTCTGAGTGGGGAAAAACTCTGAGCTTTTCTACATACATTTTTAATTAGTTAAAGATTACTGTTGAATCAATCACCCTTAAACACTTCCATTAACATAGTTTTTCTTTGACTGACATTCATCATTAACATAGTTTTTCTTTGACTGACATTCATCACAACTTCTGGAAGTGACTAATCACTTGGGTTTCATATTAAGACTCTTTCTCCTTTGCAAATTGCAATTGAATGAATATGTATAAAGTTAGAACTTGCTCTTTATGTCTAGTCAATTAAAAATGCACACTTAGCCTCAAAGTCTAGTTTTATCTTTTGAAATTAATCAGTAACCAGTTTGAGGAAAACCAAATACAAAATCTGGTCTTGAGTATAATGATTGCAAATGCAGTGCAACTGTACAAGGACACCATTGTGTGATAAAATTGTTCATCATCAAGGATAAGAAAAAGATATTTTACACCTACAAAAGATAAATTCTATGAGTTAAGATGAAAAACTGAAACACTCATAAAACTAATGTTATAGAAACTTTTTATTTGTATTTCGTGTATGCTTCATACCATGAACCATGTAGCATGAATCATTTGAGTGTATGCTTTTGTTTTGAAGTAATTTTTTAGAAAGATTTTGAAGACCAAAATCTCTTGTAAGAGAGAGAGATTTATAAGTTCTCCACTTTTGTAAATATGGTTATTTAATCAAGAATATATTTTGGAAGCCATTAGTAAAGTTGTTAGTTTTAGGGAGAAACTTTTATTCAACAAAAGCTTAAAAGCCTAAAAGTAAGAAATGAAAGTCCAAGCATAATGCTAAAAAAATAAAAGTTGGATGACTTATTTGTTAAATAAAAATTTAAGCTCGCAAGAAACTCGTGGAATCATTATCTAACCTATCTGTGGTTACACGAATAACATTTTATATGCATCTATGTTATAAATCTATCTTCATTAGCCATAAAGTCATCTGTAGATGGAGTCGTTAGCTTGCCCCATGTGCCTTGTACATGAGGGCATTTTGGTCATTTCCCCTTTGTCTTCTCAAGACATCATCTTCTCCAGATTTTTGAAGTTGTTTCTCCAGACTTGAAGTTTTAATCTGAAATTTGTATGCTAATGATTGATTGTTGTTTGTTAAATTTTGTTAGCATCATAGAGATCTAAAAGAAAAGGATGAATGATTGCAAAAGTTTTTCTCATTATTGTCTGAATTTTCTAATCTATCACATTTATATACAATAGGAAATAACTTTGCAAAAAGAAGCGTGTAACTAACTTTAACATATTGAAAACAAAAAATGACAAAACTACCCTTGGTAGTTCAAAAAGAACGATTATCATAACTTTCATATTAGTTGAGTTGTAACACTAGCTAACAGCCCCCGCAAGTTTGGAGCCATTTTAAGAAAACCAAGCTTAAATGTAGCATATGTATGTTGTATTTTTCGAACACTGATTTGGTGAGAGCATTAACTTTTTGTATTGGGCACATGAGATTATCGAATTAAACAAGATTGAACTTTCTCGCGGACAAAATGACAATCGATTTAAATACGTTTAGTCCGATCATGGAAGATAGGGTTAAATGCAATATAAATAGTTGCCATTGATCGATACTCAACTTCTAGTTCAGAATAAAGTCTGCTAATCCATGTAAGTTTTGTAGTAACTCTATGCATTGATCGATACTCAACTTTTGTTGATGATAGAGAAATGGTAATCGTCTTCTTGGATTTCCATGAGATTTGGTGACCCTCCAAACATAATAAAGAATCCACTCACATACTTTCTTGTAATAGGGCAAGCAGCCCAATAGGAGTCACAATAAGCTTCTAGTTGATAGGAAGAATCATTGTTAAAGTAAAGAGCTAGATTAATTATCCCTTCAAGATACAAGCAACCTTATAATGGGCTTGACTAGGGGTTTTGTTGAATGGCTTAAGTATTGAATTTTGCATGCAAGATTAGTTTGATCACTCATAACATGTAACAAGTTTAGATTAAGTTTGATTAGCAATTGATGATATATAGTACCATCAGGAAGAGGATCACTCATAACATGTAACAACTTTAGATTGGATGGAAAATGAGTTGATATTGATGAAGAATCCATCATCACATAAGCTGCGAACAACTCTTTGATAAATTTGGTTTGATGAATTACCATCCCTATGTCGATTTTATCAAATTCGATTCCCAACAAAATAATGAAGAAAGCTTAAATCCTTTGTTTTGAGTTGTTCATTAAGTAAAGATTTCAATTTGGCAATCTCCTCAAGATTATTCCGCGTGACTAATATGTCGTCAACAAATGGCAACAATGGAAAAAAGGAATAATCATTGTGAGAATGAGTTTACACTTGAAGTTTTAAAGCAAATGATAATTTGGCATGCCTTTAGACAATATAGTGATTTCCTCAAACAACATTCAAATGAAGGAGATCAAGTTTCATAACATGGTGGAAGCTTTATGTAGAATTCTTCATGTAATTTTCCATGCAAGAATGCATTGTTAACATATGTAGATTGGTTGTGAGAGAGTCTTATTATGCCACACCAAATATTTAATACGCTAAAAGCCCATTCCATGTCATTTCTTAATGATGTTTGTATCGCAACGAACCATTTCTTTTTGTCATTAGTCGGATCCGGAAGTGTTTCATAAAAGTGCCCCGACTTGGGTATATTCTATTCTAAAAAGGTATTCATGCTTGTATTCTTTTCCATTAAAAACAAATGAACATTTTGGTGCTTTTCCAAACAGTTCCTCGTTTAATAATGATGACTGACAGAAGTCGTTTAGATTAGTATTGCTACCAGCGACACCAAAATATGCATGTCATATCCACAAATATTGGGTCGCTACAACATCAAGTATCATTGATGATGCTTTGTGATCACCTTGGCAATAATGTGTTTGCATTGCTAGGGGTGTTCAAAAATATCCGCATCTAAAAATCTGATCCGATATTATCCGAAATTTTGGATATCTAATTTTTCAAATTCAGATGCGGATAATGATGTTAAAACTTTTAGATATTTTGGATATCCGATATTAAAAAATAATTTTTCTGTATTTTTTAATATTTTAAAATGAGAAATTAGAAATATTGATATTGTTATCGGACTAATTTTACCCTACCATTTTCAACTCTTTCATCACCATTCTCTCCAAACTTTTAAATCGATATTTCAATCTTTTCCATTTACAATCGCTATATATTTGTTTGTTGTACTCGAGGTTGGTTGACTTATAATTCAAATCCATAAACTAAATTTATATATATATATATATATATATATATATATATATATATATATATATATATATATAAACACATACACACACACCGAGAGAGAGAGAGAGAGAGAGAGAGAGAGAGACCCGAGAACTAAAAATGGAACGTTAGATCAAAAAATGGGACGACCAAGATGCATTGTGGCATTTTTGTAAATAAGTGGAAAAATAAAGGGATGAGGGTACATCAATAAAATGATATTGGGGGTATTTTAGGGATCTAGAAAATGAACCAATGGAATAAACTGATCGGAACCCTTTTTCATGTCACAATAGCATTTCTGATTTCTGATTATGTACCTTCGGCGGACGAACGAGCTCTCTGTATACCTACACGACCAATGGCGATTGATCTCCGCCTCATCTCCTACTCCAATGTTGCAATTTTCCTCTTCTTGAAGATGATTTTCCTGCTGAAAATTAAATCCCATAAACTCTTCATCATCTACAAACGCATTGTTGAATGTATGGATGAGTGTAGGATAACTGGAATGAAGGGGTTCCCTATCAACAAACGCAAAGCTATCTCCCGAATCGTAGCTCGGATTCCACGTGAAATCCATCGGGGTTATAACTTCTTCTTCTTCTTCAATCGATTTTTCCTGGGTTTTGTTTCTTGAATCGATTAGCCCCACTGGGTAGTCATCAAAACCACTGATTTTCGCGAGTGGAGATCTCCTTGTTCCACTCACCACCTGTTCGATGAAATGCCTCAAAGGTATCGACAACAAATGTAAGCAACTCATGCTCATGGTGATCATTCTCGAGCGCAACAATGACAAGTTTTGCTTCCTTCAACAACCAATCAATGGCTTTACTGGGGTGATCATACCCAAGCGTGTCTTGAACATCATAAAACTATATCGCTGTGTTGGCTGATAAATAAACACGCCGATCCCTCGGACCCTTTGATGTGCAAACTTTGCTATGGCGATCTTTTCTTCCGAGTGATCTAACAATTCGACCACCTCCTTCTACTTCAACTATCTCTCCAGTTACTTTGCTTTTCCTCATTCTCAAATCTCACAGGTAACTACCTAAAACTAAAACCCTCTTTATGTCACATACTCAGTGTGTGTATTTGTGTGTGATGTGGGTTTTTAGTTTGATGATGAAACAATGCATGTACAGATGAATCACTTATATTCTTTTATACCAATTTCCTTATCTTTTTTAACACTAGAAACAAAATTTCAAGATTCGCATGTATAAAATTTGTCCATTTTGATGTATTTTTTATATAAATTAGTCCATTTTGATGGCCTTGGAAGGATCCTTATTTTTTTATTCCAAAAGTAATTGATATATTTGAAACTTGTGTAGAACAATATAATGCGATTTCTAAACAGAAATATTAATGCTAGAAAATATTGGTGCTTTATTTTTGAGTTTGAAAAAGAACAGGTTACACTTCAAAGAACTTCTGTTATGAATTTTTCACATGGAAACTCTTATGTATATTAAATCAACTCTGCTTTTATGGAACAACAGTTTCAAACCATCAATTGCTACTCCGTTCTCTGGAAAAATGCAAGTTTTCAACAAATTGAACATCTGTTATTGGTGCTTTATTTTTGAGTTTGAAAAAGAATAGGTCCTATTTTTCTAAATGGATGTCTATTATTTATGTGTTGGCAGTGATGAATTTAATGTGAATCATAAATATACTAATGCATATTTGATTCATATAAAAGTATAATGCACTGGTTAATCT